TCAAATTATATGACATTTTAATTAAACTAGGCAAGCAAACTGTCTACGACCAATTAAAACACATTCAATCAAACTGTAAGTCATCTAATTTTTTACTTCACTGCAGACATGGCTTGAAACGATAGTCCTTTCTTGTCATTTCAGTACCAATTTCAAAACTCAACATTTTCTAATACTTTCTAATCTTTTTTTGTGCTGTTGCTAAAGTTACTCGGACGGATCTGAAACTACTTTAACGCTATTGCAAAATAACTTGAATCTCGATTGTGAATGTTTTCTAACATTTTGCAGCTGCTTTGGAATGAGGAATGCTCTGCCCCACAGTAAATAGACCAGCACAGCCTATCTGGGCTCCTCTGTGAATGCTGCCTCTGCCTTGTTGTGCCCTCTAGAGGCTTGTGTGAAGGCCAGTGAAGTTACTCAGTTTAAGCACATATTTCATTAATCGGTGTATACAAACTTTTCAGATATACTGATCTTTAATGATATTGACAAATGTATAGAAAAACTATGATGAAGAACAAGAAGCTAGAAACTAGTCAATCAATTCTTGTTTGGAGCTGAATTATGCCCAAACTTGTGACACAAATTGCTTTTAACATTTTTATAAAAAAAGTCAACCTTTAAATGTACTTCACCTATGTTTCTTAACTGTAAGTCGCCATCCTTTCTTTTTCTATCCTTCACCTTCTGTGAGGGAATCCATTCATCAGTTATCACCACACACTGACCATGTCTTTGAGCAAAAGGTTGAGCATTGCTTAAAGTCATTGGCAGACCGTCTCTACATAGGTGAGCCTCCTAAATCTCAGCCTAAAGAACTTAGCAATAGTTACATTTAAAAATGCATTACACCTGCCACTGATAAAGGCTATTTTCTAGCTTTTGAACTACATCTTAGTTTTAACAGTGAATGTTTTCTCATTCCCTCATATAAATTATACTTTTTTCTGGCATTGTGTTTTTTAATTAATTAGAATTATGTGAAATTGTTTAAAGAAAAACAAAACAAATGAGCAAACAAAAAAACAAAAAAAGGGCCTTTCATTTTAAATGTTTCTCATTCAATGTTTATTAAATCGATAAAACTTTAATCTTTGTTTCTAACTACATTCACAATAACACATTAGCCATTAGAAATAATTTAATTTCCTAAATGACACGTCAAATCAACCCTTGGCTAATTTTTAAGTAGCTGCAGTAGCAACCCGTCTTCTTCTCTCCTCTCCTCATCCTAAACTGCCAGCTCTGCTTTTTCCTCAGTCTGAAATCCCCTTGATGAGCATGAGATGCATCAACGGTATTCTACATAAAGGCTTGATTGAGGGGCGGAGCATTAGTCTGGGACAATGCGTTCAATACTTGGCAAAGCCTTACAATGACTTTGGCGGAAATTACATTTGGGTTGAAAACTGTTTTTGACCATTCAGATCACTGTGGTGACCTTGCGAGCATCTGCTTAATATCCAACAGGGAGCCCAGATTGGGGATTTTGAGGCATCAGCAAATGACTCAGAATTGTGTTAAAAGTGTTTATTGAATAAATATATAAACTGATATGTGATTTTTAGAGATGAAGTCTCTCTTGTCAATCATCTTATTTCCTTTATTACTTTATAGGTAGGAGATCTAGTTATTTCATCCATATTGGCAGTTTAGTTCTATTTCACATTCTATTTGACAGTGTGCTACAGAATTTCCTGAATAGCTTTGGTTTTGTTTCTTTTTTAGTTATCTAAAAAAGCTGTGCTTCGAAAAACACAAGCTTCATGTGGGGTCAATGAGTTTATTTTAGGTTCAAATTATTCAGTATTGACAGATAGAAGTGAGCAATGCCACACACAAGAAGCTTCCACTGCTAATTTCTTGATCTTTGGTTTGTTCGACTCAAGGATAATTTTGTTTTGACCCACATACTCATCCAAGACATACCCCCATAGCCATCTAAGTCATCCACCCCACACACTCCTCCAACATCCTTTTTCCAGACTATTCTCATCAGTTAATTGTGAAGGTTGATGATTGTTCAGGCAAGAACTAAAGTGCCAAACTCAAATCCATAAACAATCAATGGGATTTTTCACAAATAAGCGGGTTTTCCACAAACTGTTCAGGGTGTTATTAGGAGGTACTGGAGCAAGGTTCCTCTGGCATTTCTCTGCAAACTTTCTGGATTTGGAAGAAGAAACCATGGCTCTCCTGTGAGGAAATTGTAGGTTTTTAAGACTGGGAGATATCTGTTAATTATATAATACTTAACTTTTGCTTTCACAGACATTGATTAATCCATAACAGACATCTGAGGTATGTTATTGAATATGCCAGAGAAAAAGAATTGAGTAAAGTCAACAATGTAATGGGACCAGTAAGTGCACTCGTGCCAGAGTACAACACACAAAGCCTGACCAATTGCACAATTCAAATCAGGGTTTGAAGCAGTCTCACAGTGGAACATGAACAACTGTTGCCCTGCAGCCTTTATTGCAATGAGAATTTAAGGGATGGATCAACAGTAGATTTCCTCGTGCTTCACCTTGATTTTGGTATCTAGGGACATGTATGAAATTCAAAGTTCTAAAGATGCTTAACTTCACAGTACTATGTCAAGCTGATGTGTAATCCATTTACAAATCTTTTTTTTAATAGTCCTACACATGTCAGGTACAGTAAAGAAAACCTGCTGACCAATTTCAAAATGACATCACAATTTAAGCACAATTGAAATGACAGAAGCCATGTATGGGGACAAATCACAACTCATCAACCCATAAATGACCTTTTAAAAAGGAGGATACAGTGTCTCTGTTTATTATACTACATAACATTTATTTGAAAACCCACTTGGTTGCATCCAAGTGTCTGAATCTCTACATTCAGTCTCTGTCTGCCATCTGTATAAGTGTGCACATGGCTGAATGTGTGTGCTCTGCATGTGTGACTCACACTCAGCATGGATAAGTGTCTGCGTATGGCTGTCTATTCTATTTCTCTCCCAGCTACCAGCCCGATTTAATGACGTTCAGTAGATTCAGATGTGGATGCAGCCTCAGCCTCTCTGGATACCGGCACCAGCTGAATTGAATCTTCTCCAAGCAGGCGCTAACCATACTGCTGATGTTGACAATGGCCAAGGTCCTATCGGCATGCTACTGCCTATTTGATTAATGTTGAGATGTCATTTATTTATCTATTACAATGTATGACTGATGTTAGTTATCTGTTCTCTGTGACATTTCGGTTGTAGTCGAGAGTTGACTGCTGAAGTTGTCTTTTTTTTCCACCCACAATACTCGCTCTTTTATGCTTCTTCAAGAGAATCTAATTTCACATCGCCTGATGGTGACAACTATCATCATTGTCTTAACTTAAGCTTAAGATGAAGATTTTTTCCTTGCAATTGTCATATATGGTTTTGCTGTTATTCAGCCAAATAATCCTTCAGTGCGTATCCACCCCGAGATATTAACTGCAATCTTACTGGCTCAAATCATCTTCCAGTCTTGGAAAATATGAACAGGGATAATGGAGGAGAAACACTTGCTTTCCAAAAAACCACTAAGATGCCCTCAAGCAAAGTATTTATCCCCAAATTGCTCCACTGGAGCTACTCCAGGGCCAACAGTGGAGAACTGGTTTAACTGGCAGCTTTCAAGGGGGAAACTGTTTATGTGTACATGTCTGTGACAGACAAGAGGAGCTGTTAAGAAAAGCGTAGAGGAATCAGTGAGCTTGAGAAAGCAGAACTCTGGAGTTTGTTACTTTGTATAAACATCAGTGCCATGGTATATGTTCAACCTGGACCTTTTCTTAAAATCTGTATGACCTTGTGGTTCCAATACACATCTAATTCTAAGAAAATAACTTCTGAGAATCTAGAAGAAATTCAGAAATTCCTAAATGAGCCATTCAAAGTGAGAAAATGGTGTTGCTTACACACTATTCCGTTTTATTGGCCAAGTCCAGAGAACAAAATCCCTAATTGTATCACGCTATTATTGAATAAATCTCCCACTATAGTATATTTCTGTATAGTATAGTGTATGGCAAATCGGAGTAACTACTCCTTTAGTATTTGCTGCCAAAATGGAGCCATATAGACCCAGTTCAATTCTAGCATTATTCAAATGATTTTTTCAAACTCCCGGGTGAAAAGGACAGCCAATTAACAATACCTATTCATCACTGGTGGTGTCATATCCAGATTGTTATAAATATTATCCCATCCATTTGCTGGGCAATTGCTCTCACCAAAGTTTTACTTTGATTAGCTGAAAGTCCAAGACTAAGATGGAATGAAATTTACAGCATGACAGACATAGGATGAAACAAAAAGTTGAAAACAATGACAATGAATCTGTTCTTTCTCTCTGTTATAACAAGATTTATAGTGATGACTGGCACATAGCAAAGTGAGTCACCCTCACCATCTGCCCCTTCGTACCTTACCTCTGCCAGCATGCCTGTGTCTGGCTGTCTGTGGCCCTTTTTTCTTTTGCTCACTGGTGCCCACGCTTCATCAGCACTCCTCCCAGGGGTGATGGATGGCCTGTCCATACTTCCCGATGTCTAAAGCCAGCTTCTTCCAGACTACCTAATTTCTCCAATATTATTAAATCTCGCCCTTTCCTCTGACTCACCCCAGCCTCTCATCACAACAATGACCATTTTCCTCACCCTCCCTAACACAATGGTCAGACCACATGGCGGAAGATAAATTGGCTTTCCTATCCTCAATTTAAGGTACTGCTTCTGTTCTTAATCAGTTTGCTTTAGCAACTTTAATTTATTAAACACCTTTATTCTTCTGGTGTTATTCCTAATCTCTATTGCTTTATGATTTTCATTCATTTCTTCACCACCGTTTTGATACAAATTAAAGGTCCTTTCTTGATTACAAACATGTACTATAGTGACAACCTTAAAATACCAGGGTAAAGCAATTATAAATATATTACTATTTATTTTAATATATTGTGGAATCCAAGTAAGTTTTCAAGTATTCAAAATGTTCTACCTGTGTAGACTTCTGCTTCTGAGGGATCCTCTATTCTTTTATGTTGGATGATGTAGTCGGAAACTTTGTAACCAATCTGAGGTTCCACATCCATCCACTCCAGGGCAACAGTTGTGCTTGAGGGCTCCAGGTAAGGGGCGAGGCGCAAACTAATAGAGCAACACAAAGAAGACAATGCATCATTTTATGGAAGCATAGAAAGCTTTATATTTAACGAGACAAACAAGAAGTTTGTGTGAATTCTGAATTGTTGCCCATGAATTGTGTAGTGTAGGGTCATGATCCACATAGAAAATGTTGGACTGAGATTACCGACATTCATGTGGAGACTTGAATAAAGCAAATACTAAAATAATCTGACTGCACTAAGAGAATGTTTAAAGCACTTATATTGATTACTTATATGTTTTAAAATAATTAGACATTTTATTACAATGTTACATCTATTTTCAAATGTTTTTCAAGAATTCTCAATTTCTCAAATCATAATTTCAAAATGTACGTATAAAATATATAATATGAATAAAATGTGTCATAGAAGTGAATAATAATGGTCATAACTGTCAAAGTTATTTGTACAAAATTAAAAAAATTAACTGTCATTGCTGCGTTAATTATTGTACTTGTGCAGAAACTGCTACAATTTGAGTAATATCTCACTCAACAAAAGGCAAGCAGCAACTTTGAACAAAACAAAATTCCAATGCCACATGTTATCCAGCAGTGTTCCTGTGCAGTTTTTCATATTTAATCCCTCAAAAGAGATAAAAGAACAACATTTCCATTTTGCCTCCCCTGCAGCTATATCTGTGACAGTGGCACAAATGTGGCAGATTAGCCTTTTATGATAAAATATGCTACTCAGCCTCACCCTCATATAGTACACGATATTGAACACGTGCCAGATGCTGGCTAGAGCTGGAGGTGACGTTGCTGCAGTGGCTTTCGTCTGTCCTATTCCAGGGCATTAGCCCAGGAAAAGATAAACAAAACTTCAGTTGTGAAGTGAATTCCGAAACCATAATCCACCGACAAAACAATACAGAAACAGACATTAAGTGACTGCTTTTGGACAGCATGAAAACCCTGAGATGATCTATACATGCAAAGGGAGAACATGCAGAGTCAGCTGAGATTTGAACTGGAAAACCTTCTTGTTGTGATGCGGCAGTTATAACTATCCTGCAGCCCAACTGCCTAATGTAAAACTGTTTTTTACATTCTTTAAAATATATTTTATATAATTGCTTTCTGATCTGAGGTCGCCCTTTCAACTTCCTGTTCCTTTTTAGAAGTTTCTCATGGCAGCAACTGCTGGAGTGGATGACTCACAAAAGCCTCAGGAGTATTATTAGGACACCTTGAATAAGAGCATGTTCTTTTCAGAGGAGTGTAAGAGCGGACTGACAGCTATTAGAACTTCAGGGACTTTGCTTGTGTCTACAACTTTTGCAAGTCCCCCAAGAGTCGGTAGAGGCATGTATGTGTGTGTATATCCATGTGTATCAGTGCATGCATCCAGAGAAATCTCTCTGGTGCATGAATCCCAAGGTGTCATGGTGTCACATCACACTTACATTGGTTGCTTGAGAGGACTGCAGTTAGGCAGGCCATCTTTGTTGAAGGCACTCAGGTCGCAGCGACACCAGTTATCAATGACATCGCCCTTTCCGGCACACCAGTATGAGCTCATTGTGGCACTCTTGAAGGCCTGTAAAGGGTAACAGGTGAGAGAAATGCAATTATCTCTTGGAACATGTGCTCGCTGTCCATCTAAGCTCACCCCACCCCGTCTACCATCCCCCTATATTTTCCCTTTCTACTATCGCCCTCTGTATCACTTCTCCACACACACACACTTAGACTTACTTCATTTCCTAATGACGACTTTCCACAATTGATAATAGAGCTTTGATTGAGACAGTTGGAAAGTTTCAACTTGAAGAAGATTGGGCCATTCAACCAAAAAAACAGACTGAGAAACTGATGTAGAGTTGGCTAGACCTACGCCACTTCCACTTCCTAAGCAAAGTGACCTTTTCATTTCTACATTTCCAAATTACCGGAAGGCAGGAGCAATTCCGACCCGCTGATCGGCTTGCGGTGTGGTATCATAGATGCACTGCGGTTTTTGTGCTGGAGATGTTAGAGCTGTGTTGCTCCTCACCTCCCTCATTTCATGCATTTGTGTGTGAGATCTGTTTGTGCTGCTTTCTGGTCTGACTGCGAAGTGGATGGAGGGGGACGAGTGGGAGGGGGAGATATTAAGAGGTGACATCATCTCCTTATGCTACTTTATTGAAAGAAAAAAAATTAAAGGCAGAAGCCCAGTCATCCTCTAAAAGGCAGCAAAATGCCAATATAACCGTCAAAGCAATAAAGTATAATGTCAGGGCTTTCCCTAAAGCCACAGGCATGATATAGAGTGAGTTCAAGGGAGTTCGCAAATACTCTGGCTCCCCCTGTCACACTACGGATCAATGGAGTGCTCAGTTATTTATACGCTCTAACTGGTTAGCAGTGCTGCCTCATGCATATGAGTTTGGCAATGTGCTTGATCACGGTTGCATAAAAAGGGTAATGCGGAAACATTATCATCGGGTCCCAGGCATCCAACAAACACGCCTAAAATCCAATGCACCATGACATTCGCTTATCAGAAAGCAAAGCAATTGATGAGATAACATATATCTCTAAGAACATGCAGTATGTAAACATGCACACACAAACTCAAATTAATGATTGATTTCCGCAGATGGCCATTTCAGTTCACTGGAGAAATGCCAGAGAAGGTTCCTGCAGTGTGTTGATTAGATGAAGTGACATTTAGAGATGGTTTTGCTCATAGTGTTGACAAGAAAGGCAGACAGCTTGGTCAAAAACGAGTTAGGGTACGAACTCAGAAGCTGATGGTAGAACTTTCACCACACTGCTGTGCTAACTGTAAATGAAGCTTGAGAGAGCAAATACGAGAACTGACTTCCTCAAATACAATTTTTTTTTATACATGGAGAAGTACCTCAAGAGTGCAAGTGACCTAAATGAGCAAAAGAGGGATTGTAGACAGAAAATGGAAAATAGGACAGTAGAAGAAATGCAAATATATACATGTATCACATTTTAAATATTTTTGTGAATATATATATATATATATATATGAGCAGAGGGCGTAGGCAGGAAAATTTATCTTATGACCATATAATAATCTAGGTGAAATAAAAAGTTAGAAAAATTTCTCTCCCTTTTGACTGAACACATTTCGCTAACTACTACCAGAAAACAACAGCAGCAGGAATTTAGCCATTTCACGTCAATGGGAAAACAGGCTACAGACAAAGGCAAAAAATAATAATTGAACCCCGGGTATGTGCACACAAAGACAAATATGTGAAATGACCTTCGATACAGGGGGCAATGTAGATGAAGACCACAGGCCCGTCATGCTTTTGCCAACAACAGATTCCTAGAAAAACCCCATATGGGTCCATGCGCTTGATTGCATGGCTGCACATGTGAAAAACAGACAAAGCGATTACCACCGTGTTTATGTTTAAAGAGTAATGCAAGCCAGTCTCCACTGGGTAAACATGGTTTCTAATTGAGGTTTAGGGAATGAGGTTGGGAATTGGGCAGTGGGCATAAAAAAGACATGACGGTTTAGAGAAAGGCACAAAAGAGGAAAAAGAAAAAGGAAAGTCGCTTATGAGAAGAAAAAAAAACTGTTAAATGTCTGGTGAGGACAGCAAATTGTCTTCATGGTGAAGGAGAAAAACAATAGATAAAAAAACTTTATTTAGGAACTGTATTTGATATATATGTATATATATTGTTCTCTGTATTAATTGATTAACCACAGCTTCTGCATTTCCCAGGGCATCCAAACCCTTCACAGTCTGATCTGACTGCACAGTGATATGAAGAAAAATTCATCTAGTTTGGTTCATATTGAAACAGAAAGTGTTGTGACAAGTAAGAATGCAGCTGAGCACTGACTCTAATACGGTGAGGCATATATGTACAGCTATGACAGATTTGCTTTCAGACAGTGGTGATGCCCATATTGTTACAATGGGTACAAGGATCTACCGTTTCACAAATATGCCACAATTCATCCCCACTGACCTTACAGATAGTGAGCAAATTGAGCTGAAATGTAATCGCTCCCTGCTTTGTACATAAGACAAGAGCAATGAATAGCAAGACCAATGAGCATCAACGACAATTCCAGCCATACAAATCCCGAGCCTTGACGTCATTCAGACCCTACAGACTCACTGGCACCAAAACACAATGTGGATCTTTCACTTTCGAAGAAGCCTGTCGTGACTTACAAGAAGGCGAGTTAGGCCATTGTGACCTCTTTAATGTATTAATCTGTTTGTCTAGTCTATGCTGACCAAATTACTGTCCGTATTCAGAAGCTAATACACAAAAACACTGGCCAGCTGGCCCACTGTATTGATTTATAAGATAATCACCAGTGGTGGTAAAGAGTCAAAGTCAGACCACACAGAGCATCATCAGTGTGAGTGCGTGTGTGTGTGTGTGTGTGTGTATGCATGAATATCCATGCATTCATCTAGTCTTTCCAATCATTCAAAGGTAATGGTGTTAACAAGGAGGCCAATGGCCTGCTTCTAGGAACCTTCTGAGAGGTAACACTTCCAGGAAATGGGACACTGGGGGCAGCTGGAGGTTCGGTTCACCCAAAGGTTGATCAGTGATCACCATGTCAATGACAATATAAAAAAAAACAGAGTACATAAAAGATTTTAGCAATCAACTACCGGTATGTCATACAAAATTCTAGAGGGATCAGAGCAATCAAAAAGTAAATACATAATTCGTCTGCTATCATATTTTGTCATACATGAATACAAAACATTGATGTCAGTAATGATTTTTGGTTTTTGACAAGTATTTCATATACACTGGCCACACAGAGTGTGTATAAATCTGTTTAATGATCTCCTATACAGAAGTGTACACTTTCCTCTGTACTCTGTGAGAGCATTCCAGGAATCAAACCTTTAAGTAAACATTTGACCACAAAATGTGTGGCTTTGAGCTGCATGGTATATAATTACCCAAAGTTTATAACATCATTCAGTCCTTCATTTAAGCAAAAAAAAAAATCCTTATTTTAAGTATGAAGATAACCACAGTTTTTTCAAACTGTGTAAAAATTTAAAGAGTGCAAAAGTAATTGGATATCTAAATTGACTGTTTGTCATTTAAGCTTGAGTTCATTTCCAAACAAGTTCACCTATGACTCAAGATTAACTGCGAATTGGAAGTTGAATTTAAGACTGAGATTAAAATATTTGTCAGGATAAAGAGGAAACCACATCGCTGAGTAACTTGATACTTAAGTGACAAATTTCCCAGATGTGTCTAAGGTAGCAAAAAAACTTTAGTTTTGTACACACATGGTTCACAGACTGTTTTTTTAAGGGTTGCCTGAAAAAACGTTTTTATTATGAAAAATAAAGAATCTGCATTTGCTTGCTGGTCTATAAGGAGAAGCAGATCCATGACCTTAGGTGCTCTTGAGAAAAATTTGGTTATGAAACAAATTTCTTTAGACATGTAAAACTAACAGGATTAAGACATCCCTCTTTGTCAAAATAATCCTAATGGGAAAAAAACAAAAAGGAACTCATGACCCTTCACATCATCTGTTCAGGATGATGGTGGCTCAGCTGAGCTTACTAGCTGCTGGGGGAACCGGTGCACTTCTACAATATGGGTTCAAACATATTCTTAAATTATTTGGATATTTATCAGAACTACTCACGCAACATTTTATTGCTCAGTTTTACAATCATTCATGATCCCAATTTATGCAGTATTGATATAACTGAGTTGTTGTCACCTTTTAGAAAACAAGATTAAAGACGGATAGTCTCATGACAAGCAAACAAAAAAATGACCCTGTATCGATGGCCTAGGATGATCGCAAAACATGTGTGTTGTTGGGCCAACGACCTCAAGCAGTCATGGAATAAAAATTATACAAATTTTAATATTTGATTTAATATAAATTTGTGTTTACCTCCAAATGTTATGTTAAACAGCTTAATCTCACCCATATCTTGACTGTCTTTAGTTTGGTTCTTATAACTATTATTTCCTACACATTGGTTCTGCTTCTTTCTCCATCTGCCCCAATAAAAAATGTTGAACAAACAGTACTGCTGAACAAGTGCTATGCCGGAAAGGCTGCTATGGCTCAACACAGTATAGAACATTCCAACCCATCCGACTCACAACCAATTTGTTGAAAAGGTTTACCATAATTCAACGCTACACAGGATGCAGAACTACTGGCAAGCGCCACGGACGTAAGCGTATTTATTTGTGGATTGATATATATTTTTCCCCTGGCATTAAAACCATCTCTGAGAGTTAAAGTACGCATGGGAGCATTTGCATAGATGCAGCAGATCCACCTCTTATTAACCCAATCCAATTCTCGGACTGGCTCCAATCACATCAAGTAAGTTTAAATCACAGTCTGCTTTTGAACTATGCATGTGGTTCTGGTCTAAAGTTATAAGATAGGAGGATGAACATAAATCACATTAAAATAACATTAACATGAACAGGATTTGGTAAAGAGTTTTTGTGGAACTCTAACAGCATGAGATGCTGACATGTTTTAATGGGACTTGTGCTATAAGCACAACTGGCTTTTCAATCTTGGTTTTCACTGAACCAAAGTCTGTGTGTGGGGGGGAAATACATTAGAGCTGGATATCATACAAATCTGGACAATTTAAACCTAATCTAGCGTCTTGGATGAATAAAAGGTAGGCTGAACAATATAATATTTTTCTCCTCTATTTGGGTGTGCCCAACCAAGATGTTGAGCTATTACTCAGGTAATCATGTGGTATTAACTGATAGGATCAGTCTTTTAAACATCAGTTTTACCCTTATTCTTAACTGGTATTTGTTCATTTTAGAACCGCGAAGATGGACAGAAAACAAAATACCATGAGAGCTGAGAAGACAGGCTGAAATGCAGATTTACAACATATATCTCTCAGTTTAATTGCTCTTCACGTTTGGTTGTGTTTATCACAATGAAAGGAAAAATAAATCTCTTTGGTTTAACATGTCATTGACATATGTCAAAGCAACATGATATGTGCTGTCAAACCGTCATGTAGCCTTGGGGAGATAACTAATAGATGACAATACCTGGAAAAGGAAGGAGCTCAAGAAAAAGGGTCTGAGCCTTTGAAACCAGATAAGGGGCATGCGGAGACAGATGCATCCATATATATATATATAGATATATGTGATGAGTTTTACTAATCCAGAGCAAATTGTGTGACATCACTATACATCCAAAACTAAATATAGATGCAATCTCTAGCCATTAAGTCTCTATTTCCAATGCTTCCCTGGATTTAGGGTGAATGAAAAAGGAACTCATCTCTGAGAAAGCTTTTGCGACATGGCAGCTGTCTTTCCTGATAGACGCAGCCAAGTAGAAAGATAGTCTCACGCAAAAGTGTGTGTGTGAGACGGACACACATAATGACAGAGAGATAAAGAATGGTTGTGTGTGCGCAGATGGGCAAGTTGCCGCTAGTCTCTAATGCGATATACGTATGTGCCATTCTGACTGGCAGCAGCTGTGGCCAAGAAGAGAAGAGAAAGCGAGAAAAAGAGGAGCAGAGTGATGGACTCCCCTCCCTCCCCAGAGGTCGATGACATCAATAAGATGCTAATAATCCTGCCTCAAGCTACCTCAAAAGGGCTTGCCAGAGCAATCCACTGCAGTCTAGTCCTCCTCCTCCTCCTCCTCCTCCTCCTCCTCATACATCTCACTCTCCAAGTCCCCAGAAGACCATGGGTGGGTTGGGGGCGAGAGAAGGATGGGTATAGAAGTGTTTGGAAGAGTTGGAAAATAGACATTTTGCTCTTCCTCACGTTTAGGTATTGACAAAGCCCACTATGGGCAGTCTGCTATTGATTCCACCTTTTTTTCTTTTGGGACTCCAGTGCTTGTTATGGGAAGCACGTACAGGGCATCAGAGCATCTGTGTTATTTTGAGTGCGTTTATCCACATAAAAGTATACATTAATGAGGGCATGCTAATAAGATGCTTGGTTACAGGAAGCATGAGCCTATGCTGTTTGTTTGGGTGTGAGTTGCATCTGCTTTTACTTATGTATAGAATATATGGCAACATGCACAATATGCTTGGTTGGAAAACAAACTTAAAATGAAACACAAACAGGATATAATGTGGTCATGCAAATGTCAAGTGAAGTCAGATCCTCTTCCTAAATTAGCCTCTGGGAAAACAACTCTAATATGATTGACTTTCATTGTAAAATGATCCAGACTTCTCATAAAGGATGAATCACAAACACAGCACGTGGCTATTAAGATGACATTACATTCAACTGTGCTCACTCGTTTAGACACATATATACACCTCACATCTATGCACACCGACTTCCCCACAAGAGAAAACCATGATGTCATCTTTTCTATGCCCTATCTGTTACAGTACACCTTTCCAATGGCCAAAATTAACCAGTTTATGCCACCTAGTGGGTAAATATTACAACTACAGCACATGAAAATGTAGACTTACAGGGATTACGCCATCACCTAACGGCATGGGTTTCCACTGCAAATATAATATTTTGAAGGGATAAATTAGTGTTGAGATTGTTGCTTTTGTCATGTGGCACCGTAAAGTGCATCCCAAAAAATGTCATATTTTAAAATAAACTATTATTATTAGTAATATTAGAAGTACAATTTATGTTTTGCTTTTGATACAATGCTTTGCATATTTATTGTCATTATCTGGTTTTGTGGTTTCTGTCTCCCTTCCCTTTACATACTCTCACTCACACAACACCTGCAGAGAGGCACACATCGTTTCACACTCCCGTGCTTCTCTCTCACCTCTTTGGTGACGTTGTCTTGGACCAGGCTGTAAAGGGGCACAACACGGCTGACTTCCAGCAGGACAGGGATTGGAGAGGGCTGCTCCCCCCCCCTGTTGTTGCCGCTGCGGCCTCTCCCTGACGCGCCTCCCATCAAGGCCTGGTGACGGCACAGGTGGCAGCCAGCTGGACAACTTCCCTTCTCCTCGCAGCGGATGTCCACACCATTCACCATGTCATCAGACAACAACTGGCTCTTCTGCAGAGCCAACAGGTAGTTGATGAAGGGGACAGACTTGAGCTCACGACGCCCTCCACCACCAACTCCCTGGTCTGTTGCCTCTGGAAAAGCAGGCCGGAGAGGTGGAATGTAGTTATGGAGGTAAGAATGGACAGAAAAAGGAAAGCAGCTACACTAAAGATCTCAAATAATTTTGGAAAGTGTACATTATAGATGTAGGGCATCATGCAGAGGGTAAAACATGTTGTTCTGTTTTATTAAGCATCCCAGATTAACTAAAATCTGAACTAACATGCCAAGTTATAAATAAATAAAGGTAAAATGGATAGGAGGAGAACCTTTTAATGTTGTTAATGAAGTCTTTTCTTTTCTAAATACAATGCATAAAGAAGCATCGGCAGAGACAGAGTTTGAAGTTTTGAAATATAGGACGCTTGTGTTTAAGTGGAGCAGACCTGCCACAAGTGATGTGACACATTTATGTTAAAGGAACAGATAGGAAAAAAACAAGTTATTAACAGGGAAGTTTGTCTTACAATGCAACAATGAGACATAATGCATTATTAATATGTGCTAGAAAACTTCAGTTCTATGAAGATTAATGAATTAATGGATCTTCTGTGTGCTAAAGAAGACCAAACAATATTCATACAAACATTCAGTTTTCTAAATTATAGTTGAGCTGCATTAACATGAATGTGTACAGACCACAAAATAAAATACTGAAATTGGAAAAGTGGTCAAATATAGGCTATATATATATATTTTTTTTAAAAGTCACAGGCGAAGAGAAAACAAAACAGTTTAATACAAAAGACGTTTAGATGGGCTGCCTCAACACAGACATATCACACTATCAGGGCGATGTTATTCATAGCTCATATTGTCCAAGTCCCTATTCTTTTTACCTTGAATTTGACCTTTTTTAAATTACCACTGGTAGAGCAAGAAAAACAGCAATACAGCCAGACTGCTCAGCAATGACACCTGGTGGTTCATAACAGGATAACACTAAACAAAACTCTTCATATTTCTTAACAGTGTTTGACCTCTGAAAAGGATTCATTCATTTACTGAGATGGACTTAATCTATCCAGCCATTTCTTATAGTTTGTATATGGTTGGTGAATAAATATTCCCAAGTAGATATCTGCTGACATCTAGTGGCCCTTTTCTATTATTACTGGCTGGCTGGCAGTTACAGACATGTTCACATCTGGATATTTAAATGGGGGGGTAGTTTGCAGGCTTAACCTCAACTATCCCCCTCAGTCGTCCTTTAATTCCAGTTTTTGGTTTGTTTATGTGTTCACACAAGTTGACAGTCGAAATCGTTCTCTGAGGCACAGGTACAGTGAGGATCTATCTATTCCACTGTCACACTGCAAAAAGTTGTGAAAAAATAAGGCGAATGGAACAGAATAATACTTTGAAGTTGATGTAATGTGCGGAAGGGGATAAGAGAAAGCATATCTACTACTTTAGTAGATAAACTAGATAGGATGGACGGATGGCGGCATGGCACAGACGTCCCACACACCAGCCAATCAGAACAGCCGTCAGAGCGAGCCGTGCGTGTTGCGTAACGTCTACGTCTGCGCGTGAGAAGTCGTCAACACTGCAGTCTTTCGCCAACAGGCAGCCGCAGTAGCAGAGAGGCTGCACGCCCACTCCACTGTCAACTAGCAAACACTGGAAGAGAGGTAACGTGAAAGAACCGAAATAGCAAAAGGGCAGCGTAACGAAGAGCCAGACGTGTCAGTTTTTTTGGTTGAACGTCCTTCTTAATCAGCGCAGGGCTGCTGTGGAGTCACACCGTGGGGGTTGTGTTGAAACCTAAAGTTAGCGTTTACATTTGTTGTCATGTGGAGAGGCCTTTGATTTAGCTGTCATTTCTAAGCCTGGACGGCAATGACAACCGATTTTAAGGTAATATCATTGCATGTTGTAGTCGTTAGACAGGGCCTATTATCCTTGCTTATGGCTCCTTGTGATTATTATTGCATGACATCGTTCGTCTGTTAGCTCACAGACACATTAGCCGAATAACACTCAGCAGCTAGCCTGGATTGAGTACTTTATTTCTTTATTAAAAAAGGTTGATGAGGTCATTAGGTAATTTTTTCACCCAGTAAATGTATTTTTCTTGAACTGGTTAAGCGAGTTAGGTTCTTATTTCTACCAAACAACCATATCTGAACATAGGACAAGCTGCTAGCCACGCTAGTTAAAGCTCTAACATAAAGCTGCAAAATCAAGCCTACCACTGTTGCAGTTTGGAAATGGGCATATCAGTGTCATATTGCTTGTCACAAACATGGGGGGAGGGTGCATTGTTCTTTATATAAACATGAGGAATAGAAAAAGGGTTTTCTAATTCAATACATTCAATCTATAGAAAACTGTCTATAGACTGATCACTACTAGTGAACTAGTTAACAGCAGTTCTCGCTATGATGAGAAAATTCACATGAAAATAATAACTACAGTTGGAAAAGAAACTAAACTAGGCTCATATATGTAAAGTGTAATGACAATGTTTTTTGTTTTGAAGTTTGCATATTTGTGCTTGTTTTTAATTATCTAGTAATTCTTACATTTTCATTAGCTAATTTTGTAGGTTAATTTGAACTTGTATGAATTTTTATGCTACAGAACTTTTCTTCTCTCCCAGAATGGCAGCAACATGCTCCCCACTGGACCCAGATTTAATGAGGGAGGTTCTTGAATGCCCTATCTGTCTGGAGACCTACAATCAGGAGCAGCTAAGACCCAAACTCCTGCAGTGTGGTCACACAGTGTGTCGGCTATGTCTGGAAAAACTGCTGGCTAATACCATCAATGGCGTCCGCTGCCCCTTTTGCAGCAAGGTCTCCCGCATGAGCAGCATCTCCCAGCTGGCAGATAATCTCACTGTGCTCAAGATTATAGACTGCACCCTGTCCTGCAGTGCTGCTGCCGCTGCACTGATGTGTAAGTCCTGCTGTAACCGCCTACCAAGACAGTACTGCCATGACTGTGCCACTGTTCTTTGTGAGCTCTGTAAAGGGGAGGGTCACCTGCTCCAAGGCCACTCGGTACAGCCCATAAGGGTTGCTGCTGAGCAGCGCCGTAAAGAACTGGGTGGTAAACTGACTGCTCTCCGTGATGTTATGGGGGAAATTCAAAAGAAAAAGAGAACGATTGAAAGTATTTCCAAGTCCTTGAGGCTAAAGTACCGGGCAGTGCAGCAGGACTATACCACAGCAGAGCTACGTTTTCAAGAGGAGCTCAGTAGATCCCGGAGGACATTTACAGCTTCCATGGGGGAGGTGGAGAAGTTAAATGCTCAGGTCCTGGAGGAGCAGACATATCTTCTTAACATTGCAGAGGTAAAAGTGGTGTCGCGCTGTGATTATCTGACGATGCGAGTGAGGCAGAGCGATATCGCCCTGCTGAAGGACGATGGTGCAGGAAGTGATGATGAGGAGCTGGATCTGAGGAGCAGTTTACCCACGCAGTTCCAGTTGCAAGAGCCAGCACTCATCAGAAAGGAGCAGATCAGACCTGTGGAAGTGGGCCATCTGACCACAAACGCATACGTTGTCAATACAGATGATGAAGAGGGGACGTTGGAGCTTGGACTTGAGAGTGATGTTGAGGGTGTGTCTGGGGCAATAGGTGCTGTAGGTGGAGCTGTAGGTGTTCCAGTGGATCTTTATCGAGATATTGACATGGTTTCAGCTGTGGAAGATGCTGTGTGTGGTTCACCAGGCAGCTTTAAATCAAAGTCTATGGATGCAGGAGGGGGCTCGCCTGCTGGGGCAAAGTCAGGACCCCCAGTCTGCCAGTTTGTAAAGAAGATGGGATGTAAAGGAACTCTTCCTGGCATGTTTAATTTACCAGTCAGCATCTGTGTAACGGCACAAGGTGAGGTAGTGGTGGCTGATCGTGGCAACAGTCGCATCCAGATTTTTAATCGCAAAGGTTTCCAACGAGAAATCCGGCGTAATGCTAGTAGCATTGACAATTTTGTCCTGAGCTTCCTTGGTGCTGACTTGCCTAACCTCATCCCCTTATCCATTGCTGTGACTCCACAAGGCCTGATTGGTGTCACTGACAATTATGATAATTCAGTTAAAGTCTACACCATGGATGGGCACTGCGTGGCCTGCCACAAGAACCAGCTCATTAAACCCTGGGGCATTACGGCCATGCCATCCGGCCAGTTCGTGGTGTCAGACGTGGAAGGTGGAAAGCTGTGGTGTCTGGCAGTGGACCGCAGCGTCGGTGTGGTCAGCTACAACCGCTTGTGCTCGGCTGTCCGCCCAAAGTTCGTGACATGCGATGCAGCTGGAACGGTGTACTTCACCCAGGGCCTGGCCGTGAACTTCGAGAAACGCCAGAGTGAGCCCCAGCTGGAAGGGGGCTTCTCAATCGGGTCAGTTGGCACAGATGGCCAGCTTGGCAAACAGCTCAGCCATTTCTTCTCTGAGACGGAGGACTTCCGCTGCATCACTGGCATGTGTGTGGATGCAAACGGAGACTTGCTGGTTACAGACAGCGGCAGAAAAGAAATACTCCACTTTCCCAAAGAAGGTGGATTCAATGTCCTTATTCAAGAAGGGCTGTCCTGCCCCGTGGGAGTGGCCACTACTCTGAAAGGACAGTTGCTGGTGCTTGATTCTTGGGACCACTGTGTTAAAGTCTACACGTACATTCAAAGGAGGCACTCCTCAACGTCCTAAGAAGACTGGTCAGACATTTATTAAGTGTGTTACTAGGCCTGTATAGATGCTTTTGAGAGGAAGAAACTTACTGTTATTTGGCGCTTTTATTCAGCTGCAGTTTTGACATACTCACTCCAGCTTTTGTTGGGTTATTGGATGAATGTTTTAGTCAAATCAATTTAATCTCAACAGTTTACTGGATTTAATTTGGTACTTAAAATTGAAATACTGCTTCCTGACAACAGTTTCTGTTCTGTTCATTTTAATTGAAATGTACTGGCAAGTTGCACTGCTAAACTTAAGCAAAGGGAGCCAGTGATATCAAAGCTTTGATGCACAAAGCAAAGGTAATACTCCTTCCTCTGTTACTGTCCACTTGAGCCACTTGTCAACCCATCCGTTAACGATGCTTTCACCAATGTGCTTCGGCTTCAAGCCAACAGAACTGAGAAGAAGAAGAGCTGATAATAACTGACTTACAAAATAAAGCATGGCCTTTAAAGCACTTAATTATGGACATGTCACTATGTTGTAGCATGAGGTTTTAGTAGCACACGCTAACACTGATGTGTCAGCATGCAGCCTTCAGCTGTAAAGTCGACTTAGGTTTTAAATGTTAAAATGTAACCGAGTACCAGCATTAATTGGCTTGCATTCAGTAACATTCAGGGAACATGAAATGTACGATATTAAGCTACCTACAGACAGGCGTGCTATATGAAAAAATTTCAACCTGATGTGCCGTCCAGTACATTTAATGTAATGCAGGAACAGGTAGTTAATGGCGTTCCAGGAATTTATATTTGTACTAGCACAACACATAGGTCTGTAGAAACTGAAAGAAAAAGAAATAAAAAAAAAACACCTATTTAAATCTAGCAGAATAAATACAATCAGAACAGGTTTAATCTGTTATGTAGACAGAATCACTTTGTTTTCTACATATCAATACTGCCTTACAACTTGGCAGGCATAACAGAATAACAGAGAATTCTGGAACATTCTTGCAGCCTCAGTGGCATTATCAGAGGAAGGATCAGTAAAATCTTTGGGTTGCACTGCATACCCTTTTATCTTTTTTGTAAGGTGTGCATCTAAAAGTGGTGGTGACTTTACAGCCTTAGTCTCATTACCTATTTTACTATGAGACAGCCTGATTTCTGTAAAGGTAAGATAAAGATCCTTGACAGGTTCTTAAGACCACAATTCAGCTGTTAAGCCCAGACATAGATCCCCCCTCAGTTTCAGCCCTCTTGGCCACTCTCTTTGTCACTACTTGGGTGCAGCGCTACACTTTGGACGACATGCACAGAGTCCTGCTCTCTGGAGAGAATAGTGTCCATTAGGGACAGAGAAGAAACATTTTTACATCCCACTTGAGTGTCTTTGCTTGGTGGGTCTTGTTGTTCTTGCTCACAAGCTGCTTCTGTAGTGTAGTCGTGCAAAAATAATGTTTCCTTGTCAGCAGAGTGTTAGCATAGCCACCACAAACTAGTTCCAGCACCCAGATCACAACCATAACACTACGGAAGGGAATGGGTGGTACAAAACTGAATCAGTGTCTTAGTGAGAACATACACTGGGAACCTTCCAATTATAAGTGATCTGCCATTTTTAAAGCACAGCCTTTTACCCCGCCCAAGTGGAGTGCACCTTCTTTAGCAATATGGGAATGCAAAAAAAAGCTTTTGAGATTTAACACTAAAGTACAATTGAGGCAGTTATTTTTCTCTAAAGGCCATTATTTATAAAGAAAAAAGAAAGAAAAAAAACAAAGTTTACTTTCTTCTATTTTATAGCAAGAATAATTCACATTTTTGAGCAAACCAACCCGCACTCTTAGTTTTATATGATTAAGATTGCCAGAGTTGTAGGATGACTGTCCCCAATGCCTAAAAACACATGCACTGCACACTACACAGGGTGAGCAACGTTTCTTCCAGACTTTGGCCTCAGAGACTATGTAGCTATCAGCCTGAGATAGGTTTATTTATGTATATATAGTTATATATGTACACCTACACACATTCACATTTAGGATTGCACTGCCTCTGTTCTCACAAACATGTCCACATCCAAAGGCCAATACGGGGTTGATCCAACAAGTTGTTTGGACACAGTGCTTTGTGTTGGTCAAGCCATATAACCAAAAATAACTCCTCGTTTGTAGTACAAGCTGTAGACGTCTTCAACCCAATTAATGTTTACAATCTTTACCCCATAAAACGAGCTCCATGCCTTCCCCACTGCGTCCAAATGCCTGCTGAATTGTAATGTGATCTGTGGAGACTGCAAATGGCAGAGTAATACTGCAGTGATAATTGAGTTCGTTATGAGTGAAATCTCCACCAGGACACAGAAGCAATCAAATGCACCTCCCTCAGGATTTTAATCAGTCCTTTCAACCTGAGTTTTCCTGTGTTTAACGTAAACATCCATATATGGTGTCGGTGCATAGGTAGTATACTTAAAACCGGTCTTTGTCAGCATGTACACATCTTCACTTTACCATGAAATCTCATCTTGGAAAAGTTGCCATTTACAATATGCATGAGAAATGTAATAAGTCAACTTTTGTCCAAATTTTTACAAGCTGAAATGGGCAAGCCGGTTTATCATGGTCAGCAATTAGCTTATGTGACATATTCAATTTCCATGATGGTAAATGCGCATCTTCCAGTCCACCTGCTCATCAGAGGGCATTTCATACATGTTCAGATTGAGCCTTAAATATGCTCATTTCACAAAGCTGATCTCTGCATCTGGAGCACTATTTACTCTAAATGCAGCAAAAATGTATAACCAAGAATCAAACTATTTCCTAAAAAAGTGTTTAAAAAGTGCAAAAATATGAGAAGAGGATAAAAATGTAGCTAATCTTTACTATCACATTAGGTTGACAGTGTGACTTTTATGCTTTGGGTGATGTATTTATTTTACTGTTAAGCTGTTCAATATCCCAGCACTAAATACATTTTTGATCCAATACTGTCTCTTGTTCATGTTACCTTACAATGGAAAATGTGTCTTTAGGGATCACTAGAAGTAGTCATAACAAAAGAATATTCTATACTTTTAATGGTTACTGAAAAAAAGCATAAAATGCAAGAAAAATCAAGTGTCCTTGTGTCAGTGTGGTGAACATCCAAGTGTTTAATTTTATATTGGTATGTTTTATTCCATTTCAGCAGAGATTTCCTGCATAGTTGATCCACACTTTTTTTTTTCCTCCATGAAACAAAATCTCATGTCCTTCAGGTTAAGTTCTTTTGAGGCCACATATTTTACAATGTGTTGAACCGTTAGGATATCTATCTGGACTCAATTCCATGTTTGTATTGTTGATAATCTGAGTGCAATAAACAAGTTATGAACCAAATAGCTGATGTATTGCTTTTTGTCTGTTTTCACACCATCACAAATCAAGGACCTTTCATTTTGCATGTGTAAGGTTAAGAAAAACAAGCCAAGTTCCATTCACTAATGTCAGAATGTCGTTGGTAACTGTGAGTTGTCACACAAAAGAAAACATAACAGTTCAACTGAGTTTTCTCACTCATGGAAGTGCTGTGCTGGAAGAAATGTTAAGTTTCTTAAAGGTTTCAAGTGCATGTGAAATGTCACTAGGTGTGAGGGAGGTAAGGGTTGTCCCACCAGCCAAATCATCCATAGCACGAAGAGTCTTAGTGCAGATGCAGCTTTTTCAAGCCTGGAAGCGCTGACACGCTCACTCCCTACCGCCGTGAGATCAGGGTTAAATGATTTTACTTTGAAGTGCAAACGGAGGCCCATTTCTAATTTGGTCTTCCCATAAACCTTTATTAACAATGCAGTCCCTCTTGAATAACCACGTGAAGCTCATATTTGTTGAAGAGCTTTCGGCAAGGACTCTTGTGAGAGGTGGTGGGCCTGTAATGATGCTCGTGTGTTGTTGGAAGGCTTTCTAACACAGACACCCTGAAATGTAGTTAGTTTAAAAAAAAGCATCTAGTATATCTGATACTTGATTGGAATGACTAAAGAAATAGTTGTTATATCCTAGATAACAAACAGCCAAATATGCTTCTGAATTTTGAAAATTGACAAACATAAAGTACATTGGACATTCTAGGGTTCTAGGAAAACACATTTTGAAGCAGTGTGTTAAAGTGGTGCTGCAGTATTGAAGAATAGCAGGAAAAAATGGGATCTTTTGATTTTCAAATAATGCAACATAGTGCTCTGGCGGGATAACTATTCTGGCTGAGCACTTTAAAAAACACTATTACTCATGACAATGAACCTGGTTTGGTATTTCAAACATTTAAATCTTTAAGGGAAGTTCAAATGTCCCCAAAGCAAATATAAAGTAACCCAAAGCGACACAAGTGACCTACTTGAATTAGCACAACTTGCCATCTTAACACCGTGTTCTTAAGCATTAATAAGCTCAGTGTGCCAGAGTAAGTTGAGCATAATGGGTAACCAACTGAGTCGTGAAGAAAAGTTAAAACGGGAAATAAAGGAAATAAACAACATGAACTTACACGATTTAGAAGGGCTCTGATTTTCAGCCACTTTATGCTCAATGTGTAAGAGGCGCATAATGCATCTTCTACACAGCATGGCGTTTGAAACCTTTATGCTTTTGGGGAACGTGCATATTATTAAAACACTTACAATCAATGTGATTCAGATTTTTTTCCTGTAGACAAAAGTGCGAGTGTTAAACACATGCTCAGTGAATTTTAACACAGCCTACACCCTTTTTAATAATACCATTGATTTAATGCAGGTAAACTTACCCTCTTGACATTTACTTTTCATTTTGGTGCCTCAGATATTTTAAAATCGCATTTATTTTGAACATTTTATCATTGTAATTGATACTCCATTGTAAAAAGTTATTTCTAGTTTTTTGCAATGGTATTGCTCATAAAACATCTAAATACTTACGCAATTTACGCGTTTTAATCTGGAAAATACTCAGCATTAACGTGAGCGGAGGATGAGTACACAACCAGGTTAAGTGTCAATGA